ACATCTAAATAATTGGTAAAAAAAAACAATTATAACTAAAGAGAAGTGATTAACTCGTATGTTAATTAGCCCGAACATTATATAAACGTATTGTTTCTTCTATACACTCTCGTTCATTTAACTTTTTAATGCAACACAGAAACAGAGCCCTGTTTTAAAATCGGTTATACATGGTTTTATAAATTTTATGTTAAAAAGACAGCTTTATATATAATAATCGTTATACAAAAGCAGTCGTATCGATGCCACAGACAAAGTTCTATTAACTTTTTCATGCCAGGATCTGATAATGATTGAATTGATTTCCATAAACTTTAGGCACACTGGAACATTTTTATTAAAAAAACACATTTTTGGCCTGATGCTGTTCTCTATAAAACAGTCTATAACGTTATAAAATATTCTTAACTTGATCTTGTAACAAATTAAATTCAAAGTCACTTATTATTATATAAATTGCGTGATTGGCCTACTTTTATTGAAATTTTGAGCATGCGATGAAACTCGCCTTTCACATGTCAATACGTTCAGCTTTTAACAAGACAAATCAAAGCTCAAAATATAATAAAATAACAAAAATTACACACAAATTTTACCTTTTATAGTATTGTTTATATAGTCCCGAGCAGCAAATGAATGCGGCTAGGACTTCCTTAATCAGGACCTAAGCGAAGGTCTCATTTATAAACCTTTATACACAGATTTGGTTACGTAATTTTACACGAAAAGTGACAAAAATAAATGATAAGAACTAAACATTAAACAGCTATTTAAGGCTTACAATGACTATGTGAAAAATGAGGTTAATTTTCGTTTCGATAATGCAAGAAATGTCTATGTAATCCGTAATAATGTCAAAGAATTATGTACAGAAAATCATTGTCTGTATCGAATATATTTCCTGCATGCGTAGATAAGAGCAGCAGGTATATACTCGTATATTGGTAGAAGAGTGGCATGCACTCTCATCCCTGAGCTGGCTGTTCACCAATTTTCTGTCTATTGCGCATTTAACACTGCTTCTACGGAGGAGGAGAACATCGCATCTGTCGGTCGTGTCACTTTGGAAGATGTATTTCCGACTGCCAAATAAGGCGTTTGCAAACAAATAATAATAAGATCTCTAAAGATCACTAGCGCTATACAACACTTGGTAGATTCTGCTCTATGACATGCTGCCCTACATGCAAATGCTACATGAAATGGCCCTGGAAGAACTAGAGCAATTTCGATTGCGCATGTAGAAAAATCCGCAGCGCAGTCGAGACCCGAAAGCAGGACCTCAGAGTTTAAAGTCGCACTAGAATAATAGGCTGTATTATAATTATAGCGTCTGTTTTACGTTTTATCATTTTCATCACTTAATTAATTTTTTAAACCATAAAAAAGTATTTTTACTAACTCAACACACACTGAATGCGTAGTTCAGTAGAACTTACAGTATGTTTTACGGTTTTTGCAGCCCTCTTTAATATAAATTAAAAACCTTGGCACTCATAAAGACCTATATTAAACTCATAAACACTTTAGTTTACATAGAACAAAATCCGCATTGGCGTTACGAAACTGCGATCATTTTTTGTCCTTTACAATACAATAAGTGGAACCTTGAAGGTTTAAATTTAAATAAAGCATAACCTACATTATTAAAATTTATACATACAATATTTAGCGGTTATAATACACATGCTAATCATTATACACACACGTCCTCCCTCGGTTATGTCTGGAGTATTTTTTAATCCATGTTTTTTACTGTAAAACGTTAGTAAAAAAATATTATCACACATTTATATATCGGAAGCAATTTCTGTAGTAGACATATTAATTGTTCACCAGAGCCAAAAACTTTATTAATTTCGGAAAATTAATAGTCTGACCTATCCATGATATTGCTACCATTTTTGAAAATATATTTATTTAACTGCCAGTCACCATTTGCAATGTAAACTTTTTATCCAAAGTTATATAATAGTGTTTGCTAGTTACAGCAAACAGTTTTTTAAATCACAAACCTTTAAAACGCTGTAACTAAGGAAGAAAAATTACCCGGAAATATTATCAATTTACAGCTAAATATGCTTATCAGGAAATTTATTTTTGTACTTTTAATTAATTCAAATTAAATTTATAATTATATTAGATCTAGATATGTATTTGTATTAATTTTGTTGAAAAAAATTCTATGGTAAAAAACCAAACTGTAGTTCCTTAAACTTTTAGTAAAGAATTAAAAAATCACACGCCGCTGAAATCTGTAAGTATATTTTTAATGGAAAATATATTTTAAAATCAGATTTTTTTTCTGTATAAAACTGAAATGACTAATTTTGGTTACATACAGATTTATTTCTAAATAATATATGGCTTTTCAGGCGTATTATTTTTTTCATCGTAGAGACACAGGAGCCAGGTCATTCGATGCGGTTTTTTCTGATTCTAATGCAGGAAAAAGTCACTTTAGGTATTTTGTCTACTTACAGAAATATGCTTTCATGATATGAAAACGAACAGACGATAAAGACGGTTTTATTTCGATAATTTATATGCTAATTACTCCTTGCACTTTTGCATGGCCAACGGAAATCTTTGACATTATTCCTGAGTGTTGTAAAATGCATTAAAATTTTAAAATTATTATTCTAAACAACTGCATATCAAAATACGCGTCAAATCGTAAACTTTGGTAAGTATTTTCGAAGTGTATTATTTTCAAACATAATGGTAGATAGGCCAACGATAGAGATATTTTTGGATTGAATACGTAGAATAAAATACTATAAACTCAGGCTTAATTATAATGAGGATAGATATTAATTTATTTTTAATAATTATTATTGTTATATACACTGTACAGCTCAGGTCAATAGAATATTTTATAGAGCAATATTGTCATTTCATTATTTTATAACTTACAAAGTCAGTCAGGTCACATTGCCGTGTTACGAGGATTTTGATAAAATTAAAAGTCAATGTTTATGTAAAGATAGGTTTGTATACTCGTATTATCTAAAACATTGCAATGAATAATTTAGTCGCAATATACAATCAAAACAAACATTTAAATAAAATGTTTTTTTTTAATAATATTATTACAAAAACTTTACACAAGGACTTAAAATATAATCTACGCCTAAAAACCAGTGACGCTTTCAACTCTTCAGCCCTGGACCTTAGTTTTTGCGATATTTTTTTTTATTAAAGGCAAGTAGGTGATCAGCGTTCGGTATCGACTTTTCTAAGTCGTACCGGCATCCTGACGATGTTATTCTTCACCGTACAAGCGACCTCAGGGACGAGAGTCTGCAGCCATTAGGCCAACTAATATATAGCTGCTGCTGGAATCTACGCTTGCAGTCGATACAATATATAGACATATATACAATATATATAGATAGACAACTATTTCCTCCTACACAATCTACCTTATTACTAAGATATTTTGGTGCATTATCGAAACGAAAATAAACCTCCTTATGTATGTGTTGCATGTAGGGAGTAAAGCCTCAAATAGCTGTTTAATTACCTCCTTATCACTTTTTTGTCACTTTGCATATAAATTGACGTAACTTGTACGTGTATAAGATAATGTGTTTCTATGGAAGACCTAATAATTTGCTAGTCATTCCCATAAACAAAAGTTATAAGCCTTACGAATACTAGAATACAATTGCAAAACAATAGTGACATTACGTAATGAATTATTAGCAATAAAGTATGGTTGCTCTTGGTTTAGTATATGCTGCCATCAACTTCATATGTTGAGGCCAACGACCTGATTTTAAAAGGAAACAATACAATTTAAATAATTAATTTCATTTAATTGGGGACACAGAAACGGTCTAAATTTAGGGTCGTTAATTATTATTTAATCTCGTTTCTTAAACATAGGTTCGGTTAGTTTTCCAGGAATCACAGTATATGTTACACTATGACTAGTACATGGAGGTTATTTATTTACGATTCAAAATATTATTAAAAACAATAATATTAGATTATCGTCATGATTTTATATAATAAAAACAACTGTCTTGGTAAGGAAAATAATTTAAAAAATGTTTTTATTTACTTCTTATTCGACCTCTACAGTTAAGATTAATTCTTTGCGTAACTTAACATTAATATTAAATATTGTTTAAGATTATACTTAAGACCAAGTAACGAAGGCATGTCATATTTCTATTAAATATTAATCTATATAAGTCGTTTTTGTATAAGAACAATAAGTTTAATTATAAAGAACTTCTGACGGCAAGCTCTTCAAACCAAACCATTGCAGCCAAGCTGTTTTAGACCCTTGCTTCGCTTCGGTGAACTAAACTAAGCCATAGGTACATATTTGTGTCCGAATGAAAGAAATAGCTCACATACAGATACCGGCAAACTTCTTGAGCATTAATCAAGGGAGTGGGGGAAAGTTTGCGGATCTGGGACACAAACGTCAACTGATTTACCAATCACGCGATCGACACGTCACCCTCCCGCCGCCCCTCCTCCATGTGATACCTTAAAATCGCTTTTGCGCAGGAAAGGACATTTGTTCAAGATGTTTGCCGGTATCTGTATCACTATTCTCGTCATCCCCAACGAAGTAATTCTGAGGCGTTGTAGTGAGATTAGAATGCGGCTCTTTAATTCATATTCATATGAGATGTTTAAAGTACATTATCAATGTAAAACTGTATAAAGTGTGAGCTATTGAAATATTCGAGACCTTCAACAAAATTGCACCGCGACTAGTAGAACTAAAAACATCCTATTTCATGACTTCCTCTTTAATAAACAATAAAACATTACTAGCTGTAATATGGAAACATCGTTATTTATTTATACTCGTATCAGTTTTCATCTTATACAAAGTAATAATAAGAAAAAAATAATAATACATAATAATTTTATTTTACTATTTCTATTATTAGTATCTAATAAGTACAACATTTTTTTTATTGTTTTGTGTTTTATTTAATGATGATTATGTATTTATAAATTATTTAAGGTCTATGGATAATTACACAACATTCTCACTGGATGACCCATCGTCTGTACTAAAATCCTCATGTTTCGATACATCTCTGCCTACCATAGTGTATACATTTGGATACAGAGGGAAATGCACTGGTCCTGCTACCTCAGCTATGCTAAACGGTTACATTGACACAAAGAAAAGAAACGTCATCCTTCTAGACTGGGAAGAGGAAGCTAAAAGTAGAATTCTCGGCATATCTTTGAGTTACGCCGTGTTTGCATTGCCCAATAGTAAACGGGTCAGTATCGTTTCATTAGATAAGTATATTATTATCGATTGTTATATATTATAACAGTAGATAATACTATAACACAAGAATGGAGTAATTTTTCTATCCTTTTACTAAGAAACGATTGTAAATTTTGTAAACCTTTGATTTTACGACTTATGAATAGATAATTTTTATTAGTAGGTATTATACACAAGCGATAACTCAAGCATTAGCTAATATTTTACAGACACTTGAAAAATAAATTTACTTTTGGCATACACTAAATTGTTTAAATTGTAATAAATTATATCTTATGTACCTACATAATATTTTTTACTGTGATTTCAGGTAGGTCAAGAGCTAGGCGCGGCAATATTAAAACTTTATAAAGATGGGCTTGCAATGGACACCCTACACCTCATTGGTCATTCACTTGGAGCACACCTCATGGGCTACACTGGAAGATGGATTCGCGAGCAAGGAGTTGTCATACCAAGGTAAACTATCGGCGCAGCAGAAGTCCAAACACGCACCCTCTGGCCTGAGAATAGTATACACTATATAAATAAATAAAGCTTCTCCAATTTATTACAATATCGGCTCCCGTCGCAGCTTTGCCTTCGTGGTTTTGGTGTGTTATTGGCAAGATTTTTATGATCTGTTCAACGATTATTGTTGCGATAAAAATGAATTAAACACCTAAACCTACCTCAGGTATCACATAATCTATTGCTGACAAAAGTCGTGGTCATAAAGACACTGGCTGACCACGACTGCCATAAAAGTTTAGATATATTAATACTTATACGTGGGTAACACTGAAAATGTTTAGAACTGGCCAGTTAGAAACAATGCTAATGTAAATTTTTTTTTAATTTCAATTTTCGAACTGTTTGGTAACCTAATGTAGTATATTGCATCCATTTAACATTTGTTTTTATGAATTGGCGGCAAATCTAAAAAAAATCGGTCAGTGATTTATTATGAAATTCGCTGTGGGCTTACTCAACAACAACGCTATGATAGGCTGCGATTAGCATTTCTTAATGAAGCCCCATCTCGTGCCACTATTTACAATTGGTTTAACGAGTTAAGGCGTGGACGTAGCAATCTCAATGATGATCCGCGTGAGGGACGTCCTTTAACAGCGACTACTGAAGATAACATCGATGCTTTGCGACGCATGATAGAGGAAGATAAGAGAGTGTAATGTGGGTAAAGATGTGTCATATTATAAAGACGTGTCCTAAGACTGGAGGATATTATAAAAGTGAGCGGTATTACGATACGAAAAACTGTTAAGCACTATAGGATAAAAATCCCTTTACTTATTAAGAATAATATTTAATTAAATAAGTATCTAGTTTATATTTTCAGAATAACAGGCTTGGACCCAGCGAGAGCATTATTCGAAGGGATTTTTGCTACTCAAACCGGATTAGATCGAACCTGTGCAAAATTCGTGGACATTGTCCATACGAATTCTGGAAATTATGGTACCACCAAGTCTGTGGGTACAGTAGACATATGGCCAAACTACTCATCAGATGGTATGCAACCTGGATGCCCCAGAGGGTCACATCCAATGTTCAGTTGGGATGGTAAGAGAGCAAATCAGATATTTATGTATCTGCATCGCAAAATCATCTACTAATAGAGTGCTAGTAATAGGCAATGTTAGGAAGTTAGCAGAAATTCTTTTCCTGAGTTTATATGGATATTCCGATATTATAATGGCATAATTATCAATTACTGTTAATAATTATTATACTGCTCCAGCAATTTACATCTTTATTTATGTTTTAAACCCTTGCTCGTCGATTTAATTTGAATTGTTTCTATAAAATGACAAGCGAAATCCTAAAATACATAACGTCAGAATGATAACCTCATATGTCCAGAGAACCAAACATTACAAGAAACGAAAAAAAATGTTTCATTTCGTCAATGTTCGTTAAAATATTATTATGTGTTTTTGTCCCGTTTTTATTAATAACATAAATAAGTCATTCATTATTATACTAGTTAAATGACATAAGAGTCTAAGAATAAAAAATAAATGTTCTTTTGAAATACGAGGTTATCATTCTATGGTACCAATCATTTCAGTGGCTCATTGCACTATGATTATTGATTACAGACCTCTGCAGTCACAATAGAGCCGTCGAATATTTCGCGGAATCGTTGAAGAATGGAACTGATTTTCCTGCAGCTTCAGCTTCATCATATGACAGCTGGGTTATCTCTGACGAACCTTCAAACGACACCATTTATTTAGGTGAACTAGTCAACATTCGGTAAGTCTTAGCTTGAAATTAATTCTGTTTGAGATGTGGAAATATATAGGTATTTTCAAGTAATGAATTATAAATAAAGTAAAAAAAATAAACTATCATTAATCGCAATTATAAACGCTGTTGATGTAGCACCGTCAGTTATAATTTGGAAATGTCTGATAAACATATGCTTTTGCGAGACTTCGTTCGCGTTGAAACAGGGAAACACAAATATAAGTTACAATTTAATGTCACTAAAAAGCAAAGCATCAGTTGGAAATAATATAGTATATTTTCGGGTAAGAAAATATACTAAATATATGTATGTATAAATAAATATATGATAAATACGTAGACAAAGGATAGCCATTGATTAATTAAAAGGCATTTGAAATTAAAATTATAGTTACTTATTCACTTCAGATAGTTGATACTGCGTATGATTTACTAATAAGGATTCACCGTATAGAAATGTTTCCAAATAGTAAACCCATGTGGCATCATTGTTGCTAAACCTATCGTCGGCGTAATAATAATATAGGCTTGGATAAGAACAATTAAGCAAGTTCTAAAATTTAAAAGGACTTTAACAATTCGATAGCCTTTTAAAACAAAATATAAAGCTATTTTTATCTTCAAAGCAGAATAATGATGACACTATGGGTTAGGAGACGTATCCTACCTCTAGGTGGTAGTCTAAAAGTATTTTTGTGTTTTTAATTTTTATTAATAAATAATATTTTATCAAAGTTGGTTTATCAGAATTACACTGTACACAATGAACACTACTAAGGTTTTATGGTTGTAAGACTTAAGCTTGCTCTGAGAGCGAAATAATAAAAGAAACAAAATTTTAAGTAAATAATTATTATTACTTAAAATTGTTATTGTATTGACACCATTATAGCTGTTTTAAAGATTCTATAATTAATAAAAATATCAATAAAAAATCTGGTATGATACCTAAGTCCCAAAGCATTATTTTCCAAATTGGTACACCTGTTTAATCATCGAAATATAAACTCAATATTATTTTGTATATTAGCTCCCGGGGGAATTACTACTTATCAACAAATGGTCAGTCTCCATTCCATAAAGGCCTAGATGGAATTATCCCCCACGAACAGGAGAGAAAACGAAGACATGTGTCAGAAATGTATAGTTTAATGGGGTAAGATATTAAATATGTAACACTAATATTAAAATGTGAAAATATGTTTCATTGGCAAATTTAACCATACTAGAATACATCCCATACCTTTATTACCCATAACTTTGTTCAATAACGATTTTATTGGACTAAAAACACACTCAAAATATTTAGTCGATGTAATATATATATGTAACATATGATTATAGATAATAAATATCATCAATTAATTAATATTTTCCAAGACCTGACGACAACCTGAAGCCAGCTATCGTGCCACAAATTATCGTATACAGTACAATAATTACTGTATACATAAAAAAATCATATGAAACGTGACAATAATATGTTGCAATGGCTTTACATTTTAAATCAGGAAAACTTATATCATTAACATTAACAAAAGATATTTAAAAAAATCAAATTAAATGGATCGACGTATACGTAACGTACGATATACAATAGTCATGTACGTTCGAACCTAGGCATGAAATTATGACACATGTACGATAATATTATCGTACGAACCCTGCCTTAAGGTTTTTCAAGGAGACTAAAACACAAAACTTTTCATTGCATTATTTATTTTTTGTTGTCTTAAGACAATATTAACAATAAATATAGTATTAAAATATACCGTTCTCTTAACTTAACATACTTAATATGGAAATGCGAAAACGCACAATAACGCTTTGGCCTACATCAAATAATATTTTACAACAATCACAGTAGTAGTAACATAAAATTTTACACTAAAAAACCTCAATGACCATATAGTGGAATTAGTGGACTTATTCACCCCATAAATTGAGCAGTATTTCTGTTTAATATACAAGTACTAAATTTCCGAGTCATATAACATTGTGTATATTATATCGTGAGCATGATCTTCCGAAAGTTTTTTCTATCGCTTAATTAACAGCTAAATTCTAAACTGATTGTAGTTTTAAGTTTAATATTTACAAACTTAAAAAAAAGGGTGCGTGTACTTATGTACGCGCGTAAGAAGTTATACTTCTTTGGCATTATTAAAAATAGTTTTTGATTGCATGCAAATAATTAATTACAATTAAATAATCAAAGACTGGAAAAGGAGTCATTAAAGCCAATAAAGTTCAGTTTACATTTGAAAAATTAATTAAATAAATATTTATTATTATTCTCTTACATTAAACAAATAAAACACTATTTATCTTTAAAACATTTTTATTTCATTATACTATTTATTTTTAAGTGACTCTAATGTCTTCATCAGAATTTCGGTTTGTAATTTTAAATTAATCATTACTTGGTTGTGATCTACGAGGCTTCTCCAAAACTACTTGCTTTCTGCAACAAATAAGAGAATATTAATTTAAGCTCTGTCCATGCAAAACTTAAAATTTTTTATAATTCATATTATAAATTTTTTAACACATTTATATTAATATAATTATATAAATGTGTTAATAATATAATTTGTAGCACATGCTACAGACCTGGATAGCAACTTTCTTTTATTCTATTTAAAGATAGAGATAATTTAAATATAATACCGGTGTCTTCCTTGTAGGTTTCTTTGGAGTTGTTTGGGGATTCTTGTTGTTCAGTTGACATGATTTTCTTTAACCTTTCTTTAATCCTACAAAATAATGAAATTTTAAGTTATGTTTCACTTTGTGCACACCTTTGTTTGGCTTTTTATATTCAATTATTCAAAACTGATTTATTACCTTTATTGTTGGCTTTATTTGTTTTGGATATCAATTTTTCCAAAATGATTTTATTTGTAATAACCTAAATATATAAATAACATCTATTAATTTAAGTATCATGTAGTGGTTGACTCAGGTATTAAGGTGTATTATACCCACTGTCATTATAAGTGGGAATGTCATTCTGAGGACAGAGTTTCGTATACAATAAATGATTTTTGAGTATTAAATATCTCTAACTACCCTTAGGGGAATAAAGTAATTTTAAATATCTATGTTGAAAGGTTGAACCTTGAACATCACCATACATCATATTTATAATTAACATTCCTACCTCGACACCATACAATCAAATTCATTGAAATCTACTTCAAACCATTTGTCTAGAAGGTGATGGTGTTTGTTCCACCTATTTATTAGTATAAGATAAATCTTTTTGTATTCAATTTAGTGATTCACTGATATAATTTTTGTCTTTTAATAATTAAATTATTTATTAAAAATGGTATTTTAGATGAGGTACTTATTAAAATTTTACTTTTGTTATATCGCTCAAGCCTTCATTTTCTCCTTATTAGTATTGTGTTAAATCTTTGTTCTCAATTATTATATAATAAATATTTTAAAAGTTGTTAACAAACAATAAACAAAAAAATAATAATTATTTTATTTTAATCAAAATAATACTCGATAATACATACGATATTAACCTAATTTATTGAAATAGAATTAGAAGTTTTTAAAATATTTTATATTATTTAAAATATTTTTAAATAAAATAACTAGGTATATAATTATTAATTTTAAACAATAATTAAAACTCCTATATTTGTTTAAAAGGTAAATGTATTTAGATTAATTTCATGTCATTAAAATTCTTTTAAGTTAGTAGAATATTAAGTTATTAATATTCTATTTTTTACTTTATTTTTATCATTGTGCACGTATATAATAATTTTGTATAGTCAATCGTAAAATTTACTCTATAATTTTATAAGGTAAAAAGTACACTTCAATAAAAAGGAACGTAGAAAGACAAATAATACTATATTTCTCGATTTCAGAGTTCTGGAAGCGTTGATGGGCTTTTGATAAGCGAATTGCCCTAATGTAGAACAATGTCAATTTGGAATATTGATATAGGTATGGTTTTAGATTATAATAAGATTATTTGTGTGTTAGCAACACGTATTGTGATTTAGTTTTTAAATAGAAAATTTTGGTTCTAAGAATCAAAACTTATAATTTTAGATTTTGTAATGTCATTACCAAAGGAATAGTTTTGCCTTTCCGATATTTGTGCCATTAATTTATGTATTGTATATGTGAAAAAACTGTAACTTATTTAATATTGAACCAAGAATTATATTCAAAGTTATTAACAGGCCTCTTATTCATAAGAATCAGTCTAATTGCACCGTTTTAAAGTAACTCGTTAATCTCTTCTTCAAAGCGTAAACACAAGTTGCTAGAAAGAGACGCGATAGTATTTAAGTTAAGGGTGCAATTAAATTCAGTTAATATTATTATTTCTACAGGGTGGCCAAAAAGTCGTGGATCAAACGCAAATAGGGGATAGATGAGGTCATCAGCGGCAAAAAATTGTTCTACGGGAGGTCTCTAAGGTCAACCCCTGCAGAGTTATGATTTATTTTGGTTTTTATATGAAAATTGACTTTTTTACTAATTCTTAATAAAATTCGAAAATATCTACATCCTGTATCTTTTTCATAATATCCACTAGATCGGTACTGATGAGTTCTTGCGTTAGACATACAATTTATAGTTGTTTATTGAGTGTATTGAAGATAATATTAAGTTATACGATATAAATTTTTTTTCAATTCATAACTTTTTCTTTACTTCGGACCCCACTGTGAAAAAAAAATTACTCTACCGAAAAGTGACCCTGTATTACAAGTTTTGGTGCATTTAATATGGATTCTGAAAAGGTATTACACATGGCCATGAGTGGCTCTAATATCTTTCTAAAAAAAAGAAAAAGTCAATTTTGCATATAAAAACCAAAATAAATCATAACTCTGCAGGGGTTGACCTTAGAGACCTCCCGTAGAACAATTTTTTGCCGCTGATGACGTCATCTATCCTCTATTTACGTTTGATCCACGACTTTTTGGCCACCCTGTATATTAAGTATAGATAAATAGAAAACGACAAAACAAAGGCTCACTGTGAAACTAGTAGCGTCATTAAATTAATATCCAATTATACACTAAATGGATACTTTGTACGTTAATTTATAATTAAACATCGTGTCAAATTAGGAGATAATAAATAACTGATTAAAAAAAATTGTTTAATTTTTCGTGTTAATTTACCCAATTTTTTTAGTTTTAAAAAACATTTTGATTTATAGACAAAACATAAATACAAATATTAATTCAACATTTATTTCTATTGGCAACACGTCTGGGCATTTTCCCTGTTGTTTATAAAGTTTTTCAAAGTTTTATCTTAAGAACAATACTATCAATCTGATTCACCAAAATATACAAGGCATGAAAAGTAAATTACTAGAAATTGAGTTGTTTTTGAGGAGTGAAAATGTTGACATATTGTGTATTACAGAACACTGGTTAAATACATGTGAACTTATGTTTAATTTTTGTAATCATCAGATGGGTAGTTCGTTCTGCAGAGGAAATGCAATACAAGGTGGCTCATTAATATTGCTTATTTAAAAAAAAAAATTTAAAGAAAGGAAGGACATAGTGAGCCTCTCTGTGGAACGCCTTATAGAAGTATCTTGTGTGGAGCTGGAGCAATTTATCATCGTTAGTTTGTATAGCCCTCCTTTACAATAAATAAGAATGCTTTATCACTAATATTAGGTCCTTACATATGAAATTGGCGTATTTCGTACTGGCCACTTTAATCACGATGTTCTCCTCTATGATAAGGAATTCCAAATTCAAATTTGTACAGCTATTTACTCATGTATTTGTGCTGCGATGACCATCATTCATTTGTTTTTTTCTGTTTGCGTCACTCATTTTACAAAATGGAAAACTTAAAGTATCGCATTATTTACGAGTACGAGTTCCGCCGTGGCGCTAGTGCTGCGGAAACGACTCGAAGGGTGAATGATGTGAATGGCGGTCATGTTGCAAAAGAAAACACAGTTCGTTTTTGGTTCCAACGTTTTCGTTCTGGAAATTTCGACCTGCAGAACAAACCCCTGACGGCCCCCTAGACCCCCCTAGACGGCCTGAGACCCAAGTTGATAATGAAGTATTGAAGGCTATTGTGGAAGCGGATCCATCGCAAACCACGTCCGAGTTAGCTGCAGGCTGCGGTGTTAGTGATAAAA